AGCTCTTGGGTCCCCAGGCATCTGAGTGTTTTCTACAGTCCCCAAGGGCTGACTCCATTCTCAAGATCATCATTTGAGGAAAGATCTTTCTTGTAAGTAAAGATGGTGTGGCAGTTTCAGTCCCTGCTTAGGTCAACATTGCTCCATCCTAAACTAAGGCTTTTTGTTCCTGCCAGAAATGATAAATCAAGACTAGAAGGCAGCACTCTCCATTTCCATTGTAATCTCCCAGGCTTCTCCCAGGACTCTGTAGTAAGAAAGGGCATTTTGGAAGTTCAGGACAAGCAGACTTAGGCTGCACAGATCTGAATGACCACTAGATGGCAGCAAAGCGAAATAAAAAAAAAACTGCTGCCATCCCAAATGTTTTGCAATTACCCATACTTTTCGGCATATAAGACACACTTTTTCCCCCCTAAAAGAGGGTGGAAATGTTGGTGCGTCATATACACCAAAGCCCCACCCCAGGGATCCCATTTTTGCAAAAAATGGGCCCGTTTTCCACAAAAACAGGATGCGCAGAGGCTTTGGGAGGCCTGCAGAGTGTTCCCCTGGGCTGGGGAGGCCAAAAACACCCCCGTTTTTTAAAAAATGGGCAAAAAATGGGCCTGTTTTTCACAAAAATGGGGTGCACAGAGGCTTTGGGAGACCTGCAGAGTGCTGCTGTGGGCTGGGGAGGGCAAAAATGCCCCGTTTTTTGCAAAAATGGGCTCGTATTGCTGTGTTTTGCTGTCCTCACTGAGGTCCGCTCCACTAGCAGGAACCGAGAAGCATTCTGATTGGCTGCCCTGTCTGACAGCTGAGTATAAAAGCGCTGTCAGATGGAGAAAACCTCACAGTTGTTGTCAGTGGAGCAGCTGCCTGTTAGCAATCTCTGTTAGCATAAATAAACAGTTGATTTTAGCCTATTGTCTCACCTCAGTCTGTCTGCCGCTGTTCTCGGTACTGATCAACTGGCGACGAGGATGGGATTGTTTCCCAGACTGAGGTGCTAGACCCGGGCTAGTAACCGTCACTAAGAGCTGTCACTAGATTGAGCTGAATTCATAGACAACGAGAGGTCGTGCTACCATACAATTGCCTCAGACACAGCCGTTTGAGTCGCCTCAGTCTGCTAAGAATGGCTGCATTAAACACTTTCGCTGCTTTCAGCCCAACTTCTGAGTCGTGGGACTCCTACATAGACAGAGTGTTTGAGTGTTTTTTGGTAGCCAATGACTGTGTAGACATCTCTGGCAACAGGAAAAAGGCATATTTTTTAACATTTTACGGGACAGAGATGTTCGAAATAGCTAGGACTCTGTTAGCTCCCCAAACAATACATTCTGTGCCTTGGGAGACCTTAATGGCCAGGCTTAGGAGCCATTATGCACCAATGCCATCCAGAATCGCCCCCCACCATGCTTTTTACCACAGAAACCAGAACAAAGGTGAATAGTTAGTTCATAGCGGCACTAAGATCTGCGGCTCTCTATTGCAAATTCAGAGACCTTGACGATGCCCTGCTCGATAGGCTAGTCTGCGGAGTAAGAGATCTCCGACTACAGCACCACTTACTGGCCAAGATGGAGATAACTCTACAGACAGCATTAGTCGAAGCCCATGCTGCCGAACTGTCAAACAAATCCACGACTGAGATTCAGCAGGCAAACAGCCCATCCACACCTATCAAACCTGACACGATTCATCACGAAGACTTGGATGTTGAGGACGGGACGGACAAGGATGATGACATCCACCACCTCAAGTCAGCTACCAAGAAAAGCTGCACTAGTGACAAAATAGCAACCCAAACTGTATGTGTGAGCTGTGGCGGGAACCACCTACAACCTGCAGGAACAGCCTGCAAACTCAGAAATGCCGCCTGCCTTCGATGTGGAAAGAAAGGGTTTCCCTGAGGGGGGACTGCTGGGATTTATAGCCTGACACTGAGATACAGAGGAGAGGAAACAAAGGAAAATATAATATTTCTTTGAGGAGCATGAGCAGAGCCATTGGGAAGCAGAGCAACGCCCACGCAGGCCTGGCTTAGGCTGGGACCTCCTCTCTCTTCTTGGAACACTTGGACTGAAAGTGCAAGATACAGAAAGCTCTGCTACATGGAGAAAAGTAGAACCGGGAACAGCATGGTTGGAAGGGGCCATGGAAAGGAAGTCACCCCCCTATACACACACTCAAAGAGCCCAGGTGCTTTGGCCAGGGAGTGGGATGACCCAAGCACAAAAGAGCAGGACCCCGGACAAAGGGAGGGACCACCGTGGCCCATCAAGAGAGTTATGGCAGAAAAGCTATTGTTCTTCAGGGGCTAGAAGAATCTAAAATCACCCCATCACGATATCCTACAGTGTGCTCCTATAACATTGTAGCATACTATATGTAGGAATGGAATAGGTGATAACAAAGAAATAATAAAGAAGAAATAATAATAATAAAGAAACTTTCTGAGTTTCTTTATTAATGAGTTGCAATGAAATTGCTTTTATATCCCAAACCAGCCAGCAGGTGAAGAAGGAGTAGCCACTGAACTTTTGGGGCTGAGGGAAAAGTGATCCATAGTCTTTGACATAAAGAAATGCAGCATACAGCTCTCAAAGGGTCACCACCTCCAATATACACTACATAAACACGACAACATAAATAGATAGATAGATAGATAGATAGATAGATAGATAGATAGATAGATAGGATGATAGATTAGATAGATAGATAGATAGATAGATAGATAGATAGATAGATAGATTTATTTATTTATTTATTTATTTATTTATTTATTTATTTATTTATTTATTTATTTATTTTTCAATTTATATACCGCCCTTCTCCCTGAGGACTCAGGGCGGTGCACAGCCAGAATTAAAAACATGAAATACAAATATTAAAAACAATTAAAATATATATAAATTTGGCCCAAAAATTTAAAAAACCACAAACCAATTAAACATTTAAAAAATTTCTTCCTAAGCCAGCCCGGCTTGCTGGAAAAAGTGGGTTTTAAGGGCACGGCGGAAGGCACTGAGGTCTTGGATTCTCCTTATCTCTGGGGGCAACTGATTCCAGAGGGTGGGAGCCCCCACAGAGAAGGCTCTCCCCCTGGGGGTCACCAGCCTACATTGTTTGGCTGATGGCACCCTGAGGAGGCCCTCTCTGTGGGAGCGCACGGGTCGCTGGGAGGTCGTCAGTAGCAGCAGGCGGTCTCGAAGATAGCTAGGCCCTATGCCATGGAGCTCTTTAAAGGTGATAACCAACACCTTGAAGCGCACCTGGAAGACCACCGGGAGCCAGTGCAGCTCGCGCAGGAGAGGAGATAGATAGATAGATAGATAGATAGATAGATAGATAGATAGATAGATAGATAGATGATAGATAGATAATAGATAGATAGATAGATGATGATAGATAGATAGATAGATAGATAGATAGATAGATAGATAGATAGATAGATAGATAATCATGCATATACCCACATATATTGAGTCTGTCATCTGCACCTCTATAACTGTCTGGTTTGGCTCTGCAACCCAACAAGACAGACACAGACTTCAGAAGATAATTAGAACTGCAGAAAAAACAATTGCTACCAACCTGCCTTCCATTGAGAACCTGTATACTGCATGAGTCAAAAAGAGGGCTGGGAAAATATTTACAGACCCCTCGCATCCTTGACATAAACTGTTTCGACTCCTGCCCTCAAAATGACACTATAGAGCACTGCACCCCAGAACAACTAGACACAAGAACAGTTTTTTCCCGAACGCCATCACTCTGCTAAGCAAATAATTCCCTCAACACTGTGAAATTATTTACTAAGTCTGCACTACTATTAATCTTCTCATCATTCCCAACACCCATCTCCTCCCACTTATGACTGCATGACTGTAACTTTGTTGCTTGTATCCTTACAATTTATATTGACTGTTTCCTAATATGATTTGATTGCTTATTTGTACCCTATGACTATCATTAAGTGTTGTACCTTATGATTCTTGATGAACATATCTTTTCTTTTATGTACACTGAGAGCGTATGCACCAAGACAAATTCCTTGTGTGTCCAGACACACACAATAGAATATATTCTATATTCTATTTTATATTATATGACACAGAGAAACAAACAATCTAATTTGGATGTATACCTGTACATGGCAAGAAAAACAAATCTTGCGAGTTATTAGATGAGTCATAATTGATGATACTGAAATTTCCAAGCAGAAATATCCATGAGGCCATTACAAATTTAGAGATGGATCAAAAGCTGAGAATAGCAGAAGCCAAATGCCAAGTTTGGAGGGACCCCTGTTGAATCCCCTGCGGAGATCTTTTGCAGAAACAAACCGAGAAACAGCTCATGTGAGCCGCATCCCTATCATGAATTTCTCCTGATGCACCATAGTTGACATTGTGTAATGTAATTCACTAGAAATATGACTTACCCAATTCCCTAGTGGACATGCCCAAAGTCTAACATATAGCTAAAATATGGATTTTGGGGTCCTGGATCATTGTTTTTTGCCCTTCAGAGGGCACAAATGGTTCTTGGTCTGAAAATTCCAGGAATGGGGGATGGGACATGGAAAAGTGCTCCATTGCTTTTGATGGCCCAAGTCGGAATGTTGTTCCATGTTTTGCAGTCAGGAAAGCTGGAGACATAGAAGAATAGGTTGGAAGGGACCTTGGAGGTCTTCTAGTCCAACCCGTCAAGCAGGAGACCCTATACCATTCTGTTCAGCCTTTTCTTGAAAACTTCCAGTGATGGAGACCCTCCTTGTGGCTGTGCAACTCCTAGTGTAAAGATATCTCGATAGCTCTGGGCCCAGGAATAACTTACCACCTCCCCATCTTTAGCTCGGTTGCAACCAGCTGACACAAAAGAGTAGAATGCTTTGGACTTTTGACCAATGTGAACGGCAATTTTTACTTGTGGCTTCTTTGACTGTCACTTGGCACTTGGGAGCACCTGAGCTCCCTCTGAATGGGTGTTGTGCTTCTCTCTCCATGCAGCTCTGCAGACAAAGTGAGGCTACATTTTATTAATCGGGATGGAGAGAAATACTCGGTCAGCGCCAAAGAAGGGGAAAGTCTGCTGGAGGTTGTGATAAATCAAAACATTAACATCGATGGCTTTGGTTAGTGGTGAGATTCTGCCTTTCTGTCTTCAGGTTTTATTGGTTACCAATAATCTGTTCTTTTAGCAGTTGGCAAAATTGTTTTACAGACTGGTCTAGGCACTAGAACACCCACCTCCTGAGATCTGATCTCGCCTCCTTTCTCTGGGACAGCCCAGCAAGGAGAACCAAGAGTGCTGGATCCAGTTAACACTCAAAGTTTGAACATTCTGCATTTTCTTCCTAAGCCTAGATATATTTATTTATCTGTAGTCTATCTTTATTATTTTTATTAATAATTCAAGATAGAGAACATCCCTAATACTCCTTCCTCCTCCTATTTTCCCAACAAAAACTTTCTGAGGTGAATTCTGCTGAGAGAGAGGGTGATTGCCCCAAAACCACCCAGCCGGCTTGCATTCCTAGGTGGAACTAGAACTCACTGTCTCCCAGCTTCTAGTCTGGTGCTATTAGACCAGACTGGCTTTCGTGCCTTTGAAAGTTTGTGTCACTTGGTTTTACTCACAGATATTATTATTATTTATTAAACTTGTATACTGAAGATTAACCAGGAGATGGCAGCAAGCTGGGCCCTACAAAGTCCAAGCCTCTGTTTACCGGCAGGAAAGCCTTTAGGGTTCCCAAATCTTCAATTCTGAGGGTTGAAATAATCTGAGCAGCTCATTCTTCCACTGAAGATGTTACCCAGCCTGGTGACGAGACCTTCGGAAACCAGGCTTGGAGAATGAACCCTCACCCTCCTCCTACACCCGAGCTACAGATATTCGCCACTGTTGCTATCTCAATCTTCTTCCGGTCAAAGGATGCTTCTCATCAGCCTGCTGAGGTGATGGGGTCATTTTGTGACTAGATGTGGCTGCTATTTTGTGAGTGCACCCACCACACACTTTTCACACTCCAAGTGTGCCTCTACCACCAAAGTATGCCCACATCCTAATGATCATCTTTTACACTCAAGAATTTACTTAAGTTTGCTTCATCCATCTACTCCTTTTACATGAAGAATAAAATACAAAGCAGCACTTTCTTCCTCATTTGGATCCCCAGATGGCAGAATAACCAAGCCCCAGTTTATTTCTGAATTTATTTATTATTTCTGAATCTTTACACTTATATGTAACGTAGCTTCGTCCAATCAATTCTATGGCGCAGCCTGTGTTTTCTCGCCACATGACACCATTTGCTGTCGTTGGAGCTTTCCAAAATCGAGGGTGGGAAGCTGATGCTATTCATTTTTGCTTGCTCTCCTGGGTTTCTAGCATGTAGGTAACACTGTAAACCCGCAGAAGGAGCCTTGCGTGGCTTCTGCCAACGACGGTGGCCTCTTTTCTCCTGCAGGGGCGTGTGAGGGCACCCTGGCCTGCTCCACTTGCCATCTAATCTTTGAGAAAGCAGCGTTTCAGCAACTGGGTGAGATCACTGATGACGAGCTGGATATGCTGGACTTGGCCTACGGACTGACTGACACGTAAGCATCCCGGGTGCCCCTTTCTTGGCTCTGAGTGCATTGGAGGGTGGGGGAAGGGGGGCATTTCAGCCCCTTCCAACTCTGCACTCTGGCCATTGTTTCAATGAAGGGAAGAATGCAAGTTGCTCATTTACCTGACTCCGAGGACTCCTCGGGATTGCTCCTGGGGAGCAATCCCAAGCATGTTGTGACTGTTGCATAGATGTTGATGAGCTCAGTCAGTTTGCCACATCCAGAAAAAAGGTTGAGAGGGCATCATACGGGATCCTGCCCAGCCTCGCATAAGTGGAAGCATAATTATCTAGAGAAGAGAAATGCTTGCTTATCCAGCTACTTTCTGGACCAATTTGCCTTGGGCATCCCTTTATAGGGGAAATGTAAAGGAAATGGAGTCCCTGCGCATTTTACTCTGCTGCTCATTGCCACCTCTAGGGGATGCAGCTCATCTCTGGCCATTGAGCCAGCACTGTCCGAAGACATTTCTGTGGTTATATGGCCAGCATGATGTCACAGGGAGCTGTTACCTTCCCACCAAAGTGGTACCTATTGATGTACTCACACTTGCATGCTTTTGAATCGTTAAGTGGGCAAGAGCTGGGGCAAGGATGGGCACTCACCCCATTGCGTGGTGCTTGGGTCTTGAACCTGGGCTGCTGATAAGCCCAGCATCTTAACCTCTGAGCCTCCACATTTCCCATAGGCCTTTATAGAGTCTTTTGGATTTTTATTTTGGTTGTCAACGTCAGTTCTCATGGTATCCTTAGCTTCAAGTGGCATTTTGAGCTGCATCTAAGGTCTGGGCTCACAAGGGATGCCAAAGGCCTTCTGTCCTACTGCAAACAGCGGTACACCTGGCAACAGATTAGGCTGTTGCATGCTAGGAAAGTGACACCCAAATCCAGATCTTTGCATCTGCTTTTCAGATCTCGTCTGGGTTGCCAGGTGTGTGTGAAGAAATGGATGGACGGCCTGACGGTCCAGGTGCCCACGGATGTCTCAGACATCAGGAGAGAACTGGAAGTGGAGAAGCAAACGAAACAGTAGTCGAAGCACATGACCTGCCCTGCAAATATTATCCTGGCCCTGTTAAAAGAGGGGAGGCCTTTACTTTCCAGACTGAAAGCAAACACCCTAAACCAACAAACCCCATTTCTGAGTTCATATAACTTGCTGTGCCCAACAAACTCAAGCATACGGTGGCTTAATATGACCGCTTAGTTCAGATTATACATGGATAGAATCACTTGGGTCATCTAACCACTTAACCATGTGCAACACAGCCCCATTTTAGCCCCCATTTAGGCTGTGGTGCCAGGCCAGCTCCTGAAAGGGGTTCTGTGCTCAGAATCTGTAGCCTCACCTGAATTGGGATGAAAAATTGGTGCTCTGTGGGGCTCATTTCTGCCAGAGGGATTGAGAGAGACTGCTAGATGTCTGCCGCTTCCAAGGAAGCTTCTTTGTGGCTTGACAGAATTGATGGGAGAAAGATTGTGAAGTCCCAAAGTAGCAGCCCGTCCAAGCCCATCAGTTGGGGGCTACATTTATCCCCTTTGAATGGGCTGGGATGTGTTCTTACTTGCAGCGCCCCCCCCCCAGTGGCCATTCTGTGAGGCAGAGGAGGAGCAAGACTCACCCCAACTGAGCCAGCGAAAACAAAGTCAAGCTCAATTGGTTGGATCACGGGACCCATCTCCGAGTCTGGCCCTGTGGTCCCCTTGGAGATTTCCCTTCCACCAAGTCTAGTCCTGCTTAAGTTCCGAGCCCAACTTTGGCTCTTCTAGACTGGAGGCCAATCCTCATTTGAGCTGATCCCTTGGAGAAGAAGAACACGGAATTCCACAGATGTGAAGTTAGAGAGATGCAGTGAATGGTTAGGGTCTGTTCCTGGCTATGAAGTCCATTGTTCTGGTTTTCACTGTGGATTATTTCTTTGCAGTGTGCATTTTTATTGTACATTTTCACAAAGTATATTCGGAAGAATTTCCCCTTTACAGCTACTCATGTCAAATATTGTTCTGTTGGAATGGTAGAAATAAAAACTTTCAAGAAGATACCTAGCAATTGTCAGATGGGGAGATGCAACTTTCTGTAGGTGAAAATCTGTATCACCTGGGAAGGCAGTTAAAGCTCTGCACAGAGTATATTTACACTACTGTAAATTGAACTAACTACTGATGTCAAGACTTTCTACCTTTGTGAAACTATATAATACGAAACTATATACAGGATATTAGAAGCACTTTTGGAGTCTCCCTGTGAAATCTCTGCTGCTCTTTAGGTTTGCCAATTGCCGGGATAATTGTTTCTCACAGTAATTAATCAGTTTTTTTTAAAAAAAATTCCTTGAACTTGTAGAGATTTAGATAGTCTAGGAGAGAAAAGGGACATCAAAATGGATGTATTCTGAACAGCTTGATACCACTGGCAATCTTTAGAAATCAAATAGTAAATTCTGGATTAAACACTTATTTTTAAATGCAGTTTTTATATTTGACAATGTTTATTCATCACATCAACATCTCTTTGCTGTAGAAAGGTCCTTTACATTTCACTGAGGATGATTAAATAAATGTTTCTTGGTACTGTTTATGTTAGTGTTCCCAAGAGATTATTTTAAGCAGTTTGACATCAAACTATGCTCTTCATTTACAAATAAGCATTTGAAAAATACTAATTCTTGCCTCTCTGGACCCAAATGGTAGTTGGGTCCGCTTCCACCCGCATCCCCCAGTTTGCCAAACAGTCACAGTTGGTCCTGTGTTTGCCACCTTGTCCAAAATCCGAAGCCCTGCTGGTTGGAACTGGCTTGGCCAAACGCCTGGAAGTCAAATCACCTCGTCCTACAACGCATTGATTATAGAGGCCACTCTGCAGACCTGCCTTGGGAGGGGATCTACTTTCATCATTTGAATTTGTTTTTGATGTCAGTGTTAAAGGGAAAAAGTGTATCCCCATCAACTTTCAAATAATCTGCAAGGGGAGGGCAGGAGAAGGGAGAGGTTGGGAGGAGAGTGGGGAAAATCGGCTAGAAGGTCAAAGACTGGGGATTGATCACAATATTTTAGACTAGCCAAAAATTCCCCTGAGTCATTATGTGGTTCAAAATGAGGGAAAACCAACCATTGTTTCAGTGGTTGTGTGGAGGCTTTTACGAAGAGTCTGGACAGCTACTTGTCTGGAATGATACATGGTCTTCTGCTTGAGCAGGGGGTTGGACTAGAAGACCTCCAAGGTCCCTTCCAGCTCTGTTATTCAGTTATATTAAGCCATTGGATGCATTAGGGCTTTGAATTTAGCACAGTACAGTATGCATGTTTTGAAAATCCAAGTTTTATATTCTGCATATGACAGGAATCAATATTTGAATAACAGTTTTGGAGGCAGGAGGAGTAGAAGAGAACTTCTGGGAGGGCAAAAAGGGAGCCTGGGTGGAGGTCAAAGAGGCAAGGAAAATAAGAGCATAGAAGGGAAGGAGAGGATCAAATATCCAGGGTCCCAAGGATAAGAGCAAAAGTCCAGGAGCTACTGTACATGCTCCAATTTCCCAAAGAGATGTCTTGCAGCCAGGGAGATCGCAGAAGAGCAACTGGAAGTCCAAAGCATGGATGAAATTCAACTGGTTCTATCCTGCTCGGGTGAACCAATAGCGGTGGTTGCAGGAGGCTCCGCCCACCTGTGCGGACGTCATGATGTCACTTTTTTGCAATGATTGTAAGCCTCTGCGCATGTGCAGAAGGCTTTGCGCATGCGTGGACGACGGTCCACAAAGCCGAAAAGGTTGGAGAACTCTGGTCCAGAGCAAAGTTTCTCAACCTTGGCAACTTGAAGATGTGTGGACTTCAACTCCCAGAATTTCCCAGCCAGCTTTGCTTCAGGTTGCCAAGGTCGAGAAACACTGCCGGAGAGGATCAAGTCAGGAGTCCAGAAGTCAAGGCCTGGGCAGCAAAGAGGCAGCATTCCAGGTGGTCCTTCAGGTTCCTCTGTCAACTTCGGAAGGACTTCGGCTGAAGCCATGTTTCCTTTCTCCTTGGTTTCTCAGTTGCCACTCTTGGGGGGGGAGGGGGGAGTTAGAAAGGAGTGGAATGTGGTGCCTGAGTCCACCAGACAAAACATCCACCAGAGGCAGCATGTGAACCAAGGTCATCTGAGATGGAGGGGGAAGATCCCACTGGACTGATTGGATAACGTGACCCAAGACACCTGAGGGGGGTGGGAAGTTTCTATTCTTTTTATTACTCTGAAGCGTGGGAATTACTACCCAGGGCTCGCTTTACCTTTGTAAGTGCCAATACAGTGTACTCATTCAAGCCTGAACGGAGCTTCCAAATCCTGATTCAATTGGGTTCGTTGCTCGGAACTACGACATATCCTGGAGTAGTCCTTCCAATGGCAAAGGGAATCAGATTTACAAATACCGGACGCTGTTTGCACGAGGGAAGTGTTCTCAGGCACAGAATATTGAACTAGGGATAACTTGCACTAACTTTTCTGGTGCTGAGCCAACCGGAACACGTGGCAAAATCATCCAAGCTACTCTGGAATCTCCCTTCGGTCTCAGGTAGCCTTCCTTATCAGCTGCTCTGACTTCTACGTTCTGTTCACTGGCAAGATGGGCGGCTCTAGTGATTTATTTTATTTATTTTATTTTATAAAATTTGTATGCCGTCCTATCTCCAAGGACTCAGGGCGGCTCACAACGACAGTCGACCAAGCGACTGTTAAAAACAACGAATATACATAAAAATCAAGAAGTTTTTTTTTTAAAAAAATTAAAATATACTACCCCATCAGTCCAGGCCGGGGGACATAAATAGCCAGGTTTTCAATTCACGGTGGAAGGTGCGAAGGTCAGGGGCCAACCGGAGCCCCAAGGGAAGTTGATTCCAAAGGGTGGGGGCACTCACAGAGAAGGCTCTACCCCTGGGAGTTGCAGCCGACATTGTCTAGCCGACGGCACCCTGAGTAGGCCCTCTCTGTGAGAGCACACCGGGCGATGGGAAGTTGACGCTGGTTGCAGGTGGTCTGAGAAATAACCTGAGCCTAAGCCCTGAAGGGCTTTATAGGTTAACACCAGCACCTTGAATCTCACCCGGAGGGCAACCGGCAACCAATGCAAGCTGCGCAGGAGTGGTGTAATATGGGAGTATCGGGTCCCTCCCGCAACAGCCTGGATCTGGGCAATTTTGGGCAGAAAGCCAAGGATGGGAAGACATGTTGTTTAAACTAGGAACGGAATTAAGTTTTATAAATAATTTTACCTGGGTTGTACAATATCTGTATAGTCTTCCTATTCTTGAATTCCATAGCTGTAAGGATTTATATATATATTACAGTGTTTCACAACTTTTAAGATTTCGACTCCCAGGATTCTCCATCCAGCATGGACTTCCTCTTACAGAATCCCGAGTTGGAAGGGACATTGGAGGTCTTCTAGTCCAACCCCCTGCTCGAGCAGAAAAGTCTGTACCGTTCCAAATAAGTGCCTGTCCAGTCTCTTCTTAAAAGCCTCCACCTACAACTTCTGAATGCAAGCCATTCCACTGATGAATTGTACTCACAGAAGAGAGTGCATTCCGGTGCTTTGGAGAACAGGTTAAGCCCCTCTTCTTTCTGGCAGCCCCTCAAGACTGCCAGCATGTCAACCCTAGTCCTTTTTTTCTCTAGATTGGTCATACCCATTTCCTGCAACTGTTCTTCACATGTTTTAGTCTCCAGACCCTTAATCGTCTTAGTTGCTCTTCTCTGAACTCTTTCTAAAGTCTAAATACCATTTTTATAATGTGGTGATCAAAATTGGATGTAATATTCCAGATGTGTTCTTACTAAGATTTTATAAAGCGATACAAATATTTCAGATAGTCTTGATTCTATCCTTCTGTTTATGCAACCAAGGATTGCATTAGCTTTTTTTGGCTGCTGCTGCACTGTTGGCTCATATTTAAGTGATTGCCCACTCAGACTCCAAGATCCCTATCACAGTTATTGCTATTGAGCCATGCTTCACCTAACCTGTACTTGTACATTTGATTTTTTTTTTTTTAGTTTAAGTGTAAACCTTACTTTGCTCTATATTAAAGTCCATTTTGTTAGATAGGGCCCGGTGTTCAAGTCTGTCAAGATCCATCAAGAGCTTGACTTCTGGGCAGTTGGCTATTCCTGCCAACTTCGTGTCATCTGCAGATTTCATGAATTCCCCTTCTATCCCCTCTCTAAGTCATTTATGAAGATATCTCAGAATACTGGGCCTAAAACAGAACCTTGGGGTACCCCATCGCTTATTCCCCTCCATGTAGATGTAGTACCATTATTGACGGTTCAACATTATTGATATGTTGAAATCCACATATCTTGAAGTGGCCGAGGTTGACAAACCCTGATCTATAAGCATCTGAACAATGGAGCTTTGCTTCAGGTCAGATCTGCATCTCCTTCTGACCTTCCTTCCCCCCCACCCCCCACCCCCCAATCCTCCCTGAATTCCTTCTCCTTTCAGAATTTAAACTGGGCAGAGGTGCCTTGTGTGACCCTGCTCTGGGCGATGGTTATCATAGCCATTCATCCCTCTGCCCTTCAAAAATCACCCCAGTTCTGATCTCCATCAAAGTTCATATTTTCATAACTAATGTTGTTCTAGGAAGTTTTATAACTATCTGAACAAATACCAGCCCATTGTGCTGATATCATGCAGGATTGACATTTTGTTTACTGGACCTAGTTGCGGCAGGGTCAACATCCCCAAATATGGGCAAATGGGAGAACTGCAAACTTCTAAATTCAACAGTAGAGAGGACATTAAGCACTTCTACAAATCTAACTTGTGCCATTTTGACATGATAATATTTTTCAGTATTTTTCCTCTTCTTTGGTGAACTTATCAAAACGCTACTTTGTAAATTTAGGGTACTTTGTAATATATCATCTTGGTGGTCCACAGACAGACCCAGGACATAATCTGGGGGTTCTCCTGGCTCATGACTCCTGTTAGAGGAGAGGTGGCAGTTGTGGCCGGGAGGTCCTTTGTGCAACTGTTGATTGTGTGGCAGTTACGTCTTTTCTTGAACCAACAATCCCTGCTCCTAGAACTAAGGAGAAATTTTCTTAGAACTGAGAACAGTTAACCAATTAACCAAATGCCTCCAGAAGTTGTAGGTGCTCCAACACTGGAGGTTTTCAAGAAGAGCTTGGACAGCTGTTTGTATGGAATGGTATAGGGTTTCCTGCTTGAGCAGGGGTTGGACTAGAAGACCTCCAAAGTCCCTTCTAATTCTGTTATTCTGTATTTTGTCACTCAGCCCTCTTCCTTGCTTCTTTTTTCTAACCTACTTGAAACGTGTGTTTGTTCTGTTCTTCATGTTATTTTGCTTAATGTATAAATATTGTTTGCTGAGGGGGGAGAGAGAGAGAGAGAGAGAGAGAGAGGAAGAAGAAGAGGAGGAGGAGGAGGAAGAAGAAGAAGAGCATAAGTTTAAATAAAACATTATACCTAAGTATTTATATCTTGGCATAAGGCTGAAATAAACAAAACTTCAGAATGCTCAACATCAGCTGAGATTGTAGATTGTAGATTTGTATTATGTATACTTAATG